CAAAATATATTAAAATAATATTTTTTTTATTTTTTAAAAAATTATTTTTAAAATTCATGCTTCAAAATAATATACAAATACTAAAAAATATTAATTTTAAGTAACAAAATAATTCATGCTTCAAAATAATATAAAAATACTAAAAAATATTAATTTTAAGTAACAAAATAATATTTTTTATTTTTAAAAAATTATTTTTGAAATTTATGCTTCAAAATAATCTAAAAATACCAAAAAAAATATTAATTTTAAGTAAGAAAAATTAAACAATTATTTTTAAAAAAAAACACGAAAATAAATATCAATAAATTAATGTTAAAGCTAATTTGGATTGGCATGTTAGGTACTCTCATTGACTTAATTAACGTGCACGTTGGTATTTCTTAACAAATATACTTTGTATACTCACACTAAATGGTATTTTTCTTTTTCGTTTTTTTTTATCTTCATGTATGCTGGAATAAAAAATAGATCAAATCAATTAACCAATTATAGTTATCTAGCTAAACAACAATTTGTCTTCTTAGAAAATTGAATTTTAAAAAAGGATTAATTTTTATGTTAAAACATAAATTAAAATCTATTTTCCAAGTAATTTATATCATGAAATTTATTCTCATAAGTTAATTACTTTCCTACAAATAAATGTAGCCTTATCAGACGTTGAATGCATCCAGATTTTCTTTTTTTTTTCTTTTCTTTTCTAAGAGATAGATCAAGACTTGTTATCCAAAGAAAAATAGGAATTTTTTATTAAACAATATCCTTATTTAATTAAAATAAAATAATTCAAGATTTTAGTATCGGTTGAGGGAGAGATACGGAGATGATATTTTGACCTATCCAGAATTTGATCCGGATTTGTGGGTGGAGGTTAGATTGTCAGGTGAACCCAATAAAAATCATGTTTACAGGCTCTTTAACACTATAGTCGACAACTTGCAGTTGGTTCATGGTGTTTCAATCGTTAGGAGCTCTCAATGAACATCGAGCTTTCAATTTAAGGAGTTCGTGGCCTTCCAGCAACACATGATTCAGCTCACCAAAAAATATGACTACCTATTAGTAAAGTACGCACAACTTAAAGTGTCTTAAGCAGAACAAAGAGTGGAGTATGAACAACAAAACGCTTCTTATGAATAGCTTTACAAAATGATCATGAACATGGCAACACAGAATGAAACATGCGTGTCTAATTTTTTTTGATCATATAACCATCAGTCTCCTCCTCCAGCTCCACCTTTATATTAATTTGTAATAAACATTATTTACTTTTAAAATTTTATTTAAAATTTTTTTAAACACATTCAGTTTGTAATGAATATTATTTAACTTTGATTTTTTGTTTTTGATGTTTAATATAAATTTTATTTGTATAATTGGTTTTTATTACCATTAATTTATATAATTTTATATTATGTATTCTAAATAATTTTTAAAAACAAATTTAGAAAAAACTATTACAAAGGGTTTTATCGACAGAATGAATTCGTCGGCATTCACCGACAGCTTTTGCTAACGGAATGAATCCGTCGGTATTTGACAATAGCTGCCATAATTACCAATAAATTTACAGACGGATATATTTGGTTAGTATTTTAAACACTCACCGACAAATTTCTCGATTGTGCGTAGCCGTCAGTAAATCATGATATCACTAACAAAATAAATTTTGTTGGTATATTTCAAGTGGGAAAGTTTTTTTTGGCGTGCAAATTTCATCTGTAAAACCATCGACAAATGGTTTTTTTGTGTTTTCGATCGATATAGCGATGGAATGTGGAATTACCGATGAAAGGAAAGTCGATGGACGTAATCCTTCGGTGAAAACGCTGGTAAATAAATCACGGAGGAACTGGTAATCACACACCAACGGAATATTTTCGTTGGTAAAACTGTGAAATTTTATAGTGAAATATTTTTTTATTTTTAAAAAATTAATTTTAATATTAGTATTAAGATGATCTGAAAACTTAAAAATATATTAATTTAAAATAAATAAAAAAATATATTTTTAATTTTTTTTTAAATATTTTTAAAATGTGAAATTAAATAGATATAAGAAAGAGAGAAAAAAACACAACAACCTTTATCCTATGACAATGGAAAAACTAGACTCATTGGTAGCCTCTTGCAATAGCAAAAACTTCTTTGCAACAGCACCAAACAATAACAGAAAAATCATTAATTTTATTTTATAATAAACCTATAAACGCAGTAGACATAATGACGAAAATATAAATTAGCAGAACCGACACGAAACAATAGCTTAATGAAGTTGAAGCTACAACAGTCTTTCTGAGCAGCAACTCCTTCACATACGCAGAAATTATAGCAGCATATTGCTCACAAATATACATATATCAAACATAAAAATTCCAGCAAAGTTTTCTTCTTTGGCAGTACCTGTTGTAGTCATACGCAGCATTTGTAGCAATCTTCAAGGCAACAGATCATCCTTGAAATTGCAACAGCAGCAGTAAGGACCTTCTAAGGCATAAAAAGCAACCATCTAGCGGTAGTAACAAAAACAACCATAAAAATCATGGAGAGCAAGGAAGCATTTGAGTTTGTTCATTTTGATATTTGTGGGATAATAACTCCATTTTCTAATACAAGTAAAAGATATATAATCACCTTCATTGATGATTACAATAACAAAATGGGTTTAACTTCTGCAAAAAAGTTTTTGAAGCTTTAAAAGGTATAAATCACTTTTTTAGAGGTACTATTATGGATATTATACGAAGTTTTTTTTAACGAGGAGGGACTGACTAAAAACTTATTGGCTCTGTATGGTAAATTGAAGAATTCATATTTTTGAATAAAAATCATAAACTTGCTCTTAAAAAAAAAAAGATACCAAATGAAGCTTCAAGTTGACGATCCTATATTCCAACCAAAAAAAGAAAAAAGTTTGATGATTAGGAGAAAATTATATTTTTTTTATAATGTTAGTGATTATTCAAAATTTTATAAACTATATAATCCTAACATCAAAAAAATTGATTTTAGTTGAAATGTTGTTTTTAATGAAACTAATTATAGACATGGAGTGATAATATTGTTAAATAAAATATTCTAATAAATTTAGATAATGATAATAATAATAAAAAAAAAATAAATTGTGAAGGATGTATCATCATAATTAGTGGAGTGGATGATCAAAGCAGTTGGATGAGTGATTATAAGATAACAAAAGTGGATTAGTCTATGACCCATTTAATGATTTTGTTTTATTTTTGTATTGTGATATTGTGACTTTCAAAGACATCTTTAAATAAATAAGGTGGCAAAAGACTATAAACAATGAAATTAATAAGTCAATGAGAAAAACAACATTTAAGAGTTGATGAAGTTTCTAAAAATACCATAAGATCATTGGTGTACAAAAAAAAAAATTGAAAGATAATAGTGAAATTGACAAATATAAAACATGCTGATTAAAGACAATAAGTTAATTTGAGATCTTACTGTTAATATCTTATTCTAAAAAAGTAATTTTTTTTTGATAAAATTGGTTGATTAGGATCAAATTTTATTTCTTAGAAACCATACATGCACCTTTTAATGCATGTAGTTCATCAAAAATCATAAAAAAAAAAGAATCAATATGTAGATTTCATTTTACAAATAATGAAGGGGTTTTTCCTCCATTTTTCAAGAAAGCAGTAAGAATTAGAATGAACAATGCAGTAGCAATAAATACGAGAATATTTACTTTTATAATCTCATCATTTCATTTTTCTTTACTTCACAATAATTTGGAATTTAATCCCATAAGAAATGAGAAATCTTGCACCTCTAAATTTAATAGGATGAATTCTATCTTGATGATATCAAATCAGATCAATATCATAAATAAAAATATCTAAACTGACATAACTTTTACTAATAGATTAAAAAAGGTGTAGGTTTCAGGTAATTTTGTGAAGAAAAAACTATTTAAATAAAAAGTAAAATTAAGATAGATACAAATCAAATTTAAAATATTAAGCATAACAAATATTTTATTCTTAAAGATAACTGCATTTTGACTAATGTATTGATATTCATGTAAAAATGAATCAAATGATCCGCGATTGCCAATATATCTCGCGGTAACAAAAATATATTGTTATAAGGTATATCAAGATTCAGTCTCTAGTTCATATTTAGTCAATCAATTCTTGTTTTTTTTAACTTGTACGCCTTCCTCAAGATAATCTTTTTCATGAACATGGATATACATATAAATAGACAAAAAGGTCTCTAAGATCTATTTGTCTATAAGATCTAGAAGAACAGTAAAAAAGATTATGATATTAAAGAATTGTGAAAAAAAATTAGGTTATTAAATTAATATGTTTGTTAGCTAAAGATTGCAAATAAAAGTGCAATATCAATTATAAAGAAGTTTTTGCTTTGATATTAAGGCATGATATAATTAAATTGATTATTATTTTGACAACTTAAAATTTATAGTCTATCTTCTACTTGGATGTAAAATCATCATTTCTACATGCAAATCTATAAGAACAGAATAGATAAATTTATTTGTGAATCTTAGAAAATTACTTGGTGTTTGCATTTTAGAAAAAAACTTTATCAAAGAAGAGTTAAACATTATTAAGTGAAGTGTTTAAGAATATTAATTTAAGAGATAAATTATTGAGATATCAGTTGAAATCCTAATCTAAGTAGGAATCGTTGAAAAGAAAAAATATATTTGTGTTTATAATATTTATTGAATTAGTTAATTAGAATAATAGTTTGAGGTTATAATCTGTTATGTATTCAGAATTCAATTAGTACGTGTTGAAGAGTGTTGAATATCAATAATTAATAGCTTGGAAAGTTAAATACTTGGATGTTTAGTGTTTCCAACATCGATAACACTACATGTATAAATCCAAGGAATACGTTTTGCTTGTTGGTAACAAACAGCAGTATAAAAACACAGAGGGTACGCATGCCTGAGAAAGAGGCAAAGCATCAAGTCCAGCCAGCCAAAGTTCATAAAGGCAATTAGCACCTTTCTCTGAACAAAGAAAGATGGTGTTGTATTCTGTTTTCTGGGCAGTGATTTTGCTTGCGAGTACAAACTCTGTCCATGGCAGCGATGCATGCACAGGCTTGCCTGGATTGCTTAACTGCGCCCCGTTCTTGATGGGTAGTGTCTCATCACCTGATGCTAAGTGTTGTAAATCTCTAAAATGGCTAAGTCAGCATGCTATCAAGAGGGAAGACAAAAGGGAACTCTGTAAATGTTTAAAGATAGAAGATTTGAAGCACAAGGGCGTTATCCTCGATAGAGCCAAAGCAATCCCTCGCCTGTGCAAAGTCCAGCTCCCGGTGCCGCTCATACCAGATAAAATAGACTGTGACAGGTAAACATTGATATTATTTCTCTTTATTTATTCATTCATTTATTTTGCTTCTTTAAATATTCCAGGAATTTATTTTTAAATGTTTAATTTAATTCTCATGATCTCTGCCTGCCTGCTAATATATGTGATCTATTTTCTTTGTGATGGGCAGGATAAATTAAAGCTGCTGATGAGGAGTAAATTGAGATGTCTGCTTAATACTAAAGGAATAAACTGCATGGAGGCATGGTGCCAAGATATCTTAGAGCCTTTACTAGCTCATTACAGAAGCCCAAGCAATTTTATAAACAACACAATATGTAATAAAATAATAAAGAAATAAAGAAAATTATTGAAATAATACAGTCTCTTTTTATATAAAATTTCTATGGTTTCGAAATTAATGGTGATATTGCTTTAATAATATCATGATTGCTGTTTATATATATATATATATATATATATAATATTTCAATAAATGAAATTTTATATATAAAATATTCTTAATGATAACCCAAAAAATGCATACCATATGCTAACAATTTGTCACACCATGATATCGTCCAGAAACTCTCTAAAATTAAAGAGTAAAAGTAATATTAAGAAAACTTAAATGTCATCATCCAGTGATTAAAAATAACTAAAAATTCTAAGATATTCATATAAAGGATTAGTTATGTTTTAAAGAAAAAAATGACATCATCCTTATAACATTATATTTCATGAAAGATCAGCTATGCTATATATTTTCTCATGAATGTGTTGTTGTGTTACCATTAATTATCTGAATTATTTTTAAATTTTTTTATTTAATTCTAAAAACATAATTTAAGTGTTTATATCTCTCATTAATAAAAAAAGTTATGTGTTTGGACACTCATTAATTTGTCACCTCAAAGATTAATTAATGCATGGAATAAATAGGCATAGATGTAGTCTTGGCAAGAACAACACGACTTGCAAGGGTGAATTTGCTCCGCAACACACACACACACACATATATATATGAGTAGAACGTGAATGAATTAATGTTGAAGCTCATTCGATTAGCATGTTAACCATCACATATACAATTAATCACCCGCACGTTAGTATCGCCTAACAAATACTTCATGCACGTTGATAGGATCGAGGAGCTAATAAAAATAAAATAAAATGGATTAACTATAAATTAAAATATTCCCTTCAATGCCTTTATGGCAACTTCAGAATTCAAAGGTCTATTAATTCATTTAGTGTGGGATAAACATGATTAACGATAGCAAATGATCGACTGAAAAAAAATTAAAACCTGAAAATCTCAATTTAATTAACTTGCTTTTAATTTTGAGTTTGAATGAGATTCAGATTTCCCCTTTCGTTTTGATTACATTTTAACTGCATAACCTTGTATTTTCAAAGAGTTTGGATTAAATCACGTAATATATTTCTTTTTATCATAATTATTTTTTAAAATTCAAGAGCTTTTGCCCGGGTTTTCAATGATTTTTGTTAGTGAATATATATGGGTGTATATATATAGTATATGGAAGAGATTAGAATTGAAAACCTTACATAACATCAAGGGTAAGATTGATATGAATGGTAACAACATTGATAGCTAGTATTTCTATAGCTAACCCCAACAAGAAAAAATCTATAGCATATGCTAAGAATTTAAGTGTTATTTTCTATTTATTTATTTTTTTTAAAAAATGCGTTCGGACAATGATTTCTCAGATTGATGGAAGTTTAGAGGGAATAGATAGGCATAGAAGTGAAGGTGGTCTTGGGAAGAACAGCAAGACCTAAACATCTTTGGTTTTCAAGTAGAAAGCTTAGACGGAATTAATTTGATTCACAACATATATATGAGTGGAAGGAGAATGAATTAATGTTGGAGCTCATTGGATTAGCATGTTAATTGCTCATATGCATCACGTGCACGTTAGTATTTCTTAACAAGTGTAAATGCTTGAAAGGAGGAGGTCCTTAACGAAGCAATAAAAGAAGCACAAGCTGCCGCTCTAGGGCCTCTTTTTTCTTTTATTATTATTATTATTATCATTAATTAAGGAGCAGATGATACGTTGCCCTAGTATTTTTTGAAACAAAATTATCGATGATGTAATGCCCGAATGACTAGTTTCTTGTGATCCACTGCTTGAGACAAGGGTGTTTTACATGTAAAAAATTATTTTTTTAATAATATTTTGATACAAGAGCATGTAAAAAAACATAATAAAGTGTTAAATAAACTTGTTTATACCTTTTACTAACACAAAAAAATTCCAAAAAAATAATTAGTCTAAAATTAAAAAATTTCACATATCAAATTTAATTTTTAAGACAATTGAAAAATGAAAAAAGACCCAATGAAAACTCTCACATCAATGAACATAATTGACATTATTATTAATTATTTTAATGGTTAAAATGAGTATTAATTCATATTTTTTTCTATATCAATGAAATTCAATGAATTTCTCACTGTTCACGAAAACTAAAAAATATAAAATAAAAGAAATAAAGTTTTGGATGCCAGATAAACCCTAAACAAGCTTAACTTGTAATCCAAACAACACTCCTAGATCTAGTTATTATATTTAGCCTAGCTTAGTCCAACGGGCTGAAAATCAATTTTGGCTACATTTTAGTTTCGTCATAAAGATACATTAAACTAACCAAACACGGTTCACTAATAATCTAATTCACTTGATAAGGGTCAAGCTTGATTTGATTAAAGCAATATTAATACTTTTTTTAAATAAAATAATATTATTTTGATTAAAAAAGAAATTAACATGAATTGACTACCCTACAATCTTATAAATTGGTTCCCTTTTACAGTAATGACCGGGCTAGATTTTACACCATATATTATATGGTTAGAAGATCCCTTAAGAATTCAAACCTAAATCTTCTCCACCAGAAAAACAGAATAAATGGAAAGGACAAGACATTTGCAAAGGCTTAAACTATAGGAAATTGTCTCATTATATTCATCTGCGAAAAATAACTAAGAAGAAATTAAAGGGCGACCAAGCACTTTACGACGTGAAAATGATAGATCGAACTTCTATTTTACCTGCAGAAAATAGAGCTAGCTGTAATCGAAGTTCATACAAGGAGCAAAAACCAAGATTCTTGTTTTTTTTCTTCTCTTTTTCCATATTAACAAGGAACAATGTTAATGTAATGCTACAAAGAATAAAAACCCCAAATTTCTAGTGTCCTTGGACAAACGGCACTGTTGTGAGAAACCATTGCTGCATGCCATCAAATGAAGTATCTCCAGATCTTAAGCAAAGGTTGTAAGAAGCTGAAGTAGCCATCTGGTCACTCATTTCCCTCGCGGAAAGAAACAGCAACAGAACTGCATGATAGTAGTATTGTTCTCATAAACGAGACAGAAAATGGAAGCATAGAAGAGGAGAACATTGAAGTTCATAAGGGTTTTTTTTAAAAGATTTTTATATTTGAAATTATCTTAGAAAAGGCAGCATAAAACTTCAATGCCTGGTGCTTGTGCTGCAGAATATTTTGCAGGTTATATGGCATGGAGTTGATCATACCTTCAATGCCTGGTGCTTGTGCTGCATGCTGCAGAATATTTTACAGGTTATATGGCATGGAGTTGATCATACGCAGTGCATACCTTTGATAGAGAGGAAGAACTTCCTTGGTTTCTTTGACTAGTTTGACGATTTACTGGTTGGGTTGGCACAGAAGGAAATGTGGTTGATGCAATTTGTCTCTCCTCTTTCACTCTGTTGAAAACCACAGTAAAACCTTCACCTGACTTTGGATCTGTTTCATCCCATGCTCCAAATTTGGGAATTGATGCTGCCCTCTGATGCTGTCATCCCCATTGAACTCAAGAAAATTAAATTTAAGTGACAGTAAAAATCTCTCTCTGCCTTAAAAATCATTTTTTCTAATTTTCTGTCATTTCTCTCTCTTTTTTTCCTTGTGTCTATCTTTCTTTTATACAATACGCATTGATAATTACAATTCGAACATGCACAACAATTTTTAAGTAATAGGTGAGGAGGGTTTTTGTACTAACCCAACAAAATTCCAAAAAAGAAAAAAGTTAGCAGCAGCAGAACGACTGCATACAATATAAAGATGTTGAAAAGAAGAAAACAGTAATGCTTAATAGTTTTGCTAGGAATTAAAGAAGGCTTACACCATCATGATTAGTTGAATGAGTGCTTCTACTTCTCTGTCTAAAATGTCTTGATGAAGATAAGGCTTTATTTCCCTCGGAACTACTCTTCTCACTTCCTGATTCTGATGTGATGCTATTGTGGCTTGCACTCTTCTGATGATCATTAGCAGATTTTGTCCCGTGTGCATTGTGCCCTTTGAGTCTCCGAACAATGTTGTGATGTTCTGCAGTAATTCCCTGATAGGCGCCAGAAGAGAAATCAACATCATCTTCCATGCCCCCTCTAGCATGCATGAAGGCCTCTGGATTCTCCTCCGGATCATTTGGGTTCATCCTCATGCCGGATTTTTCCATGCCCCCTCTAGCATGCATGAAGGCCTCTGGATTCTCCTCCGGATCATTTGGGTTCATCCTCATGCCGGATTTTTCCTTGCGTGCAGTGTCGAAGTAGGCAGTGTACGGAATGTTATCATTATCCCAGCCACCAAACTTGGGGACATGGTGACGTTGCTGTGACACAATCATGTGTAAGAATGGGAAAATTTTGTGCGGATACACACTTGATAAATTCAATCTCAGTAACACCAATGTATTTAGATTCTTTAAGGCTTCAAATTAACATAGCAGGTTGTTATACTGTTCACAGATGGCACATAACGCGTAGAAACTGGCGTGAGAAACCTTAGGAAAGATCACTACGCGTTGCGTCAACAAGGCTATTATCATATCCTAATTTTCCGTAATAATAATAGATTGATATAGAAATGATTAAGAAATACTAAAATCCAAGCTAGCTCTGTCTTTTCGCTATACGCTGCGTCAGCAAAGCTATTGCAAGATAACACAGGATAGATTGGAGAAATCATCTCATTACAAAATACCAGTTCAAGCAAAGATGATCCGTCATAGAGCAAGTTGAACAAGAAAAACAAACCTAGGGACGAGACACCAAGAAACATCTTTAAAACAGGGGAAAAAAAATCAAGAAAAAGAGAACTGAGTAATATATTTTAGCTGCGAGATCACTTACAGCCATTGATGGAGCAGGTGATGCAAAGTACTGGCTGATTTTGCTGTGGAGATCAAAGGATTTTAGCTTGGGGTGGGGGTCTTTTGATTTGAAGACGTATAGGAACCTGCTGGCAATGTCTGACACAATAAGTAATCGATTCTTACAAAGTTTACAAAAGCCAATGAAAAAGCTAAATTCAGTATAAAAAATTGAGGTATGCTGCTAGAGATACCGATTCTTTGTCCTTTTTTTTGGCTATGAATCAATCGCTTTGTTCTCATCCTCACAGCATGTAGTGTTTGTACATATTGTGAGAAACTCTTTTTCGAAAGCTACATTGATTAGATATATATCGTCTGTTTTTCTCCCTTCATTCACCATGGAAGAAAACCAGTGAACACAGAATTTAACAGTTAACTTTTCACGATTGGGGATACTTGGCCCACTATTTTCATTTTGGAACCTTCAAAATTTCTAAACTTCTCAATGAATTTGCTGTTCCAATCTTTTCCTTCCCCCTTGAGATTCTTTTCTTTCTTTGCTTTTACCCCCTTGAGTGTTAGGTTGGTTGCCATTTCATCGAAGTAACTCTATGATAATCATTGTGAAATAATAAATTATAATATAATACCCTTTGACGCAGTTTTTTGTTTTGTTTTGTTTTTTCAATAGAGAGATCAAATAAAATATTTACTCGTACATGACTTATATTTTTATTTCTATATATGATTTTTTTTTTGCATAGCATAAATCATACCAATTTTAATAAGAGTTGATGTGATTTTTATTTTTATTCTCGTATACAGTTTACATTTTTTTAAATCATATTAATTATGACGTATAATATTTTTCAATTGAGCTGGTTTATTTTTGTTTTTGTATTTATAATTGTGTTTGAATATGTTTGAAAAATGCATTTTACTTAAAAAAAAACATTGAATTAGTTTTTTTAGTATTAAATTTATGATGATTTTAATATACTGATATTAAAAATTAAAAAAAATATTTTAATATATTTTTAAATAAAAAATATTTTTTAAAAATAACTTACTCTACAATATTAAACTTATATCATAGTTATCTAATCAAATATTAGAGTTATTCTTGAGATGATGATCATCAAATTTCTCAATGAAATAAATCCCATTTAAAATATTCCAATTACATGTATTGTAATAATACAAACAAAATAAGTGAACTGATTGCCATAAATCACCTATAAAAAATATAATTGTTTAAACCATTTTCAGTTACACAACAGCTTGAAAATTTGAAAGAATATACATGCACATTCAAAGGTAAAATCCAAACAACATTAAAACCGGAATCCATGAAGCCCTGAAAGGCAAATGGCCGGAGGAAATTTGAAGTAAAAAAGTATTAAAGCAGTTGAAACACATTAAACACTTTGTCAACTAGTTAATTAATCAGGCTTTGGAAATTGAAAATCGAACCACTTTCACTCAAATCCAAAACCAGAAAGAAAGAAAATGTGTGTAAAAGCAACTCCATGCACACTGACCAGTGTTATCCTGTGGGCTTACTGCACTATAAACAGGCAGCTTGTGCAGAGCATTCAGCACCAAGCAAGCCCAGTTGATCATATAGGTAAGTAGCAGTAGTCTAGAGAGTGAAGAGAGATGGAGAAGAAAATAGTGGTGACTGTGATTGCTTTTTGGCTAACGCTTTCTTTTTGGAGTGGAAGCACAAGCGTGGCTAACGACCTTTGCTCAGAAGCCATGTCTAAATTGCTCAACTGCCTCCCATTCTTGACTATTACTGCCCCATCGCCATCTCTTGCTTGCTGCGAAGCTGTGGGATGGGTGAGTCAACATGCTACCACCACACAAGACCGTAGGGACCTCTGTAAATGCTTAAAGAGCGCATCTCTTGCTTACAAGGTTGATCCTACCAGAGCTAAGGAACTTCCTGATGCGTGCAAAGTCCCTGTCCCCGTGCCCATCTTACCCCAAATCGACTGTGACAAGTAAACGACTGACTTCTCTCTTTTCCTCCTTTTTTTTGTGAAGTGAATTGAATTTCTCCTCACATTAATTAATAATTTGTTCTTGTTCATCATGTGTGCAGGATCCAGTCTTCCATTGATTAAGGAGTAGAGATGCTTGCTTAGAAGAATAAACTGGAAAGATTAGTAGCGTTGTGAGACTGTGGAGAGATTAATGCCATAATATTTAGAGCCTTTCCCTGTTATGTGTATGCATGCAATATGATGCAATGTACATATTTTAGGGGAAGCACTGTTTGAATGAAATGATATATGGCCTCTTTTCGCATTTTCTGTTTCATTTAATCCAGTTATTTCAATGAATTTTTATGCAGAAGATTGCACACACAAGCACTTGATTTATGGACCAAGCTAATTAACAATAATTCTTATTTAACAAAAATCAAATTAAATGGGTCATCTAAAATGAATGTTGCTAAAACCAACCCAGTCGACAGATCAACTCATGACCTGGTTGGAAGAATGATTTTATGGATCTTCTTTCTTGCATCATATTGACGATCTAAGCTGACAAAAGATGTATTACAAGAAACGCCCCCTGCGTTTCTGCCTGCAATTATGATGCCTGGAAGCTAGGATTGAGCTTGCTTTACAAGTTCATGGCGGTTTCATGTCAAACTCACAGTAAGAAAACACACAGAAAATATTAGCAGGGACTGTGAAGAAAATCGGATTCGTACAGCCAGAAAATCTCATTTCCGTAAAGTTGTTAGATTCAATTACGTTCCTTTTCCAAACTAAGGATGACAAGTAAGCTCAGTGCCTTGCTGCATGCAGCAAAGACCAAACTCAGAAAGCTTCTTCCAAGTCTTTTCCCTCCTCGCCCCACTCGTCTATTACCTTTTCTTTTTCCTTCTCTAGTATGATGCACGAACGACGTGTCATTCATGGATGAATTTTCTTTTAAAAAAATTAAGCGGGCTGGACTTGACCTTAGGTGCACCTGGAGAAAGCCCTGCCTAGTGACTAGGGTCCTTCCTTTTCTATATTATTATTCTAAGTTTTTGAGTGTTTTTTTTTTATAATAATTTCCTCTATTTTAATTTCATATTTTTATATAGTATTATCTAAGTTTTTGAGTTTTATTAATAATCTCCTCTATTTTAATTTCAGATTTCTCTTATTTATAATTTATTTACAGTGAAGTATATTAGATTTTTTTATGTGTTTTTATATTTTTGCCATTTTAATTTTTTCTATAATATCATATTTTTAAATAAATAATCCTCTTAATGCTATTTTATATCTATACTATTATATTATTAAATAAAATTATTTTAAAAGGTAAATCATAAATTCATTTGTTTAATATTTTGTCACTGAATTGAATAAAAAAATAGGATAAAAAAAAATACATAGAGTGTAGTGGTATTATAAAAGAAATATTCAAATTCATATTCTAAATATAAGGAGGAATATGTATAAACATAATATTATTAAACCATAATTAAACAGATTACTAATTTGATTGGTGACTCGTTTATCTTGAAATTGACTTAGATTGAATATCATATTAAATTGGATAAAAATTAATAATATAGATAAAAATATAAAATAAAATAATAACAATAAAAAAATATTAATGACCGAAATATGATAGAATACATAACTATAATTCATAATTTTATTATTAAATAGAAAATTTTAATATGATTTTATTTAAGATATTTACAACTTCTTAAATAAGCTTAGAAACCATTACAAACAAACTAGGAAATAAAAAAATAAAAAAATATATATAAATTATAAATAAACTAGAAAAACAAAATTATCAATTTCAATATTTTATTTCCAAAACTAAATAAAAGAAGTTTTTTAAAATTAAATAAAAAGAATAATAATTATTTTTTTCTTAAAAACTCTCCTGCATCGGTTAATTTGATCAAAACCAGTTATTTCTTAAATTAACGTGATTCATCTAATTAAAACTTGAATAAAACTGAATTTAATTTTATAATTTGTTTTTAAAAAATTTCATTTTAAATTAATCAACCTAATTTAAGGTAAGGTCCGATCCGGTAGGCAACAAAGACGAAGACAAATTGAGGAATATACCAATACCATGGATTCGGCCACAGAAAACGCCCAGCTCGGCAAACTATAAACGACGACACTACCCATTACGACTGTTTCCATTTCCTTACCTTAAGTCAATCAACCGTACTCACACTTTTCTTCTTCTTCTAACAACTTCTGCAATTTGTTCTCATTTATGTTCAGACAGCTTCTCAGCAGCTAATCTCTAAAAAATAATAAGAAAATGGCAGCAGCAGTTCTCTCTTCTTCTTCATGCACTGTAATCACAATCTCCTCATCCTTTAAAACCAGAAGACATCTCACTAAAACCCCACAAAACCCTTTGCTTTTCAAACGCAACAACAGCAGCAACCCCACTTCACATCCCTTTCTTCCTTCCAGGTATTTGCTTGTGTTGTTTTTAGTTGCTAATCAAGAACATTAATCATCATCAAATTTCTAATATTGATTGAGATTACTGATGAAAGTTTTTATTTTCTATCTTTTTTTTTTTATATATATAGAAAGTTGTGTAAAGTTCAAGCAACAATTTTGAGAGAAGATGAAGAGAAGAAAGTTGTTGTTGAGGAATCATTTCAACCAAAGACTTTCACTCATGAGCCTGTTCGGGGCTCACCACAATCTTCATCGCCTAGTGGATTAGAGACTTGGGCTATCAAGCTTGAACAATCTGTCAATGTCTTTCTCACTGTATGATTTACTGATTTATTTTCATTTGCTTGCATTGAATTGCAAGGGTTTCTGGTTTGTTGATTTCTATTTAATAATTGATTTCAAGGTTCCCAATTTGGTCGTAGCATAAGGAAATTGGGGTTTTTGTATGTAATTGATTGTGCTTTTCATTTCTTGCTTGTTTTTTATTGGCAGGATTCGGTGATAAAAATTCTTGATACTCTTTATCACGACCGCGATTATGCTAGGTTCTTTGTTTTGGAAACTATTGCTAGAGTTCCTTATTTTGGTCAGTATTACTAATATATATTGATTTCTCTTTCAATTTTGATAGAACCCAATAAGGGTTTATTAGTTTCAAACTAAACAAGGCTCATGTTATTAAATTTTAGAACCGGGGTTATTGATGGGTTGGAATATCGATGGTCATGTAGAAAATGATCTTTTGGCTGTGATTATGCTTTCAACAAGAGAAAATTTGATTGCACATTGTATCAGTGTTTATATCACACTTCCATGATGCGATGAGAAATTATTGCAGTTCGTCAAAATTGAATTTGCTGACTTGGTTTTGGGGTTCTTTGAATTACTCTCATTATGCTGTTCAAATATTGAATTTAATAGTAACTGTCGATTTCTGAACAATGGCAGCCTTTATATCTGTTCTTCACATGTATGAGAGTTTTGGTTGGTGGAGAAGAGCTGATTATCTCAAAGTGCATTTTGCTGAGAGCTGGAATGAGATGCATCACTTGCTTATCATGGAAGTAAGTATCTTTTGCAGTTTAATGGTTGCATGTTTATATTCTTGATTTCTGTTAGTGGGACATTTTGTCTTTATGTTTTCTCTGTTGATTATGGTCAGCAGTCATGGTCTCAAGTCCAGTAAATGTTGTTTCACTGTTTCAATTTGTCATTTATTGCATGGGATGGCATTTGAATACGAGATGATCTGTAAACTTAATATAGATGAAGTAAAGATGAAAGAAAATCGAGGAAGAAAATGGATAAACATGCTCCTTTTCCAATGAAGATTGGTCATAAAATACAGAATATGCAAACAACCCATGAAACTTAGGGTTATTTATTTATGGTTCAGTGGCTCCAAATACAAAACACTATAGCATAATTCTCATGATTCTGATGGCATCTTGATTTGGCTGCAGGAATTGGGTGGTAATTCTTGGTGGTTTGACCGGCTTCTTGCTCAAGTTATAGCAACCTCTTATTATTTCATGACAGTCTTAATGTATGCATTGAGCCCAAGAATGGCATGTAAGTACGCACATCTGGTTTTCTGGTTAATAACTTCCATGCATTGTAACATCCCACTCATTCAATCCTCTTGAGTCTTGAGTGATTAAATGATATGATAATTTATCAATTTATGAGAACATAACTGAAACAAGATGATGAACCAGGTATGCCTGTTTAAAAATTTCAATTTTGAACATATTCTTGGAACTCTCATAAACATTATTTGACCTCATAGAGCTCTAAAAAGTTCCATGTTTGTTGGTTTCTATTTTAGTTTGAAACAGATAAACATGATATATTTTATAGCCGCTTTTAATTGTTTTTTTAACTCTTTTCCCCATGTTGCTTCAAGCCACAGGAAAAGCACCCTAAATAAATTGTCTTGCTGAAAATCTACAGTCATTTATCTCAAATTGGTATTTTGATATTGAGCTCAAGTTGGTGATTTTGATAACTCAATTCCTTTATATTGCTCTAATCCCATTGGAAAAGCACCCAAAATAAATTGTCTTATGGATGAGTCTTTTGCAAAATAACCTACACACGTAGTCATTTATCTCAAAATGTCGAATTTGATCAATTCAACCTGATCATTTTTTTCAGATCACTTCTCTGAATGTGTTGAGAGCCATGCATTTGCAACTTATGACAAATTTATCAAGGCCCGAGGAGGTATGTTAAGAGTTTCATATGTTGGTTGATGATACTAGAATAGTTACTTGCACATCCATCATCTGTGAGTATAGATATTGAGAAAAAACCAATTTCCGTTACCTCTGTTTCACTTGTGTTTGCCATTTGGCTACTGTCACTTCATATTTTCATTCTGTACCTTTTCTTATTTTTTTGAGTTAAGCTATGTGAATAGAGTTGCTAACCCTCAAGACAACCATTTATTATTTTTCATGTGATACAATTAATTACCAGCAGTCATCGATAATTTGACTGATAACGTCTGAGTTACGATGCCTTGGATGCTATTAAACCAACAGCTTGATGATACCAAAAATCTTTATGCATATGTATTCAGGTCATGGGTTGCCCCAAAAATCTATCAGCACGCAAAACAGTTTGATGAATGATCTCTATCATGCGCTTAACTTTATAGATTCATCTTGTCCAACATCACCGACCTTTATTCTGATACATTATGTTTGCTTCTAATCTTTGTAGATGATTTGAAAAAATTGCCTGCACCTGAGGTTGCTGTAAAATATTATACTGAGGGTGATTTGTACTTGTTTGGTAAGTTTTTTTTATTTAACAAACAATGGTTGCATCTTATATGACGTGAGACAATGGTATAACAACTCCGATCACTTCCAGATGAATTTCAAACTTCCAGAGCTCCCCATTCACGGAGGCCAAAAATAGGTAAGAATAAACTCCGACTCTGTTGTCAAAATTTTCATTTTAAAGAGAATTAAGGGAGAAAAATAGGAGTTGAACTATTAAAGCGACACTAACAGAGCTTTTGTGTTCTCTTGTCAAATTCCTTTTCTTTCCAGAGAATTTATATGATGTATTTCTGAACGTCAGAGATGATGAGGCTGAACATTGTAAGACCATGAAGGCCTGCCAAACTCATGGAAATCTCCGCTCTCCACATTCATATCCAGAGGATGCTTTTGAGGATGATACTGGCTGTGATCTTCCTCAAGCAGATTGTGAAGGTATTGTTGATTGTATAAAGAAATCTGTAACGTCTCCTCCATCAAAGCAAAATATTTGAAGGAGAACAAGGAAACAGTATACATTTCAGGTGATGGATGGTGAGATATTGTATACATAGAAAGAAACATTACAAATTTACATATTTTACATGCTTTTTCAAGCCATAAATGAAAATTGAATCATTTGTTTAGCTTGGTTAGTCCATCTTAAAATTGTATTTTTAGAAACGGTGTTTCCTGCACAACAGAGCTAGCAATTCTTGATGCATGTGGTCCTATGTTAGCTGCTTAAATGGCATAGCCTGTGATAGCCACAATTTCAATCCAGAAACCTGGCCCAAGTGCTTTTCATGGATCCTTGTTGGATTGACTGGAACGATGAACATTTGAAGCTTCTCTATGACCATGGGCCAAGCAAACCGAGCCCTTTCAACCATCTATAATGAATCTTTGTTGGATTATTAATCTGGAACTATGAATATTTAAATTTTTTGAGATGTGTGCTGTCTGTTAAGTAGTTCCATCCCCAGAATGAGGTCATCGATTAAAATGGGCACAACGTGTCTGGTAATCTTCAACAGAGCGTTGCCAATGCCAACACAGAAAGCTGGTTGTGCTTGGCACCTGTTCCCGACGAGGATGCGGCATGTCCAAAATTTTCTCGAGTACTTCAACATGCATCTCTCAAAAATGGATGAAATATTCGTAGACAATAAAATATTCTTAGACGAGCCCGTGGCATCACGCAGGCAGTCTGCTAGTAACAATCTAATTGGTCAATTGACAACTACCACCAGAAACCGTACTAGAGACATTAAAACATTATCAGAAACTCTTTTCCAGAAGGGGAGAGTTCAATCTTAATGTCCCATCTATATATATTTATATATAAAACACGACGGAAGACAAGTGGGTTTTAATTTTCTTGACAAGAAAAGCATGCGCCACTACATTTTTTAAAAAAAAGAAGAGGAAAGAAAGAAGCAGCGCCAGCCACATCCTTTTGCCATAAACTTTTCTACGTTTTGATTGCTAATCTAATGACCCTAAAGCACCCGCCCAACGTGGGCCGTTTCCATCCTCGTAACTCAAACATTCTTTACTCTCCCTAGCTAACAAACACCTTGACTTCCTCCCTTCTCCGCCCTTCTTCCTTCTTCCATCTTCCACTACCAAATGCCACAGCAAGCTCTCCCTTCACCAACTCTTCCTATATATGATGACATTCACATCACTCACTCACACCACAAGATTTGGTTTTTTTCTTTTTAAGGAAAGAAAACAAAGATAGACAAGGATAGCATATTTTAGCTATTATTCATTATGGGAGGAGAGAGCTCAGTCGGGGCACTAGTCCCCACCGTGAATTCCGAGGCAACTAACTCCAAAATGCCACCACCAACGGAGGAGTTAGACAAGGATATGTTTCCTATTTGCATGCAGATAATTAAGGATGCTTCCGTCACTTCTTGTGGACATAGCTTCTTGATGCCCGTGGAAGCTAAAGATTGCGTAGAACATTAAAAATTTGATAAGTGAAAAGTACCGTAGATATAACTCTAGATTTACAATTTTATTCTCTTTAAAAATAATATTCAAGAAGTCTGTCAAGGTTTATAAATTCTAATTCTAGAGATCCTATTTCAATTAGAAAAAAATGCAAAGAAAATAATTATAAAATCTAAAATAATGCATGAAATTGAAGAAAAAAAACAAAAATTTTCCAAATTGAATGTTTGGAAAAAAAATTTAAATGTCTAGAGAACCGATATCTATGTAAGGCTGTAAGAATTACTATCAGAAAAATAGTCTTCCAGAATTTCCATAAAACCTTAAACCTATCCAATAATTAAATTAAAAATTATGATTTTTTAAGTTGGTTTTTTAAATTAACATGGATATCTAGATTAATTTGCAAGTACTACTAAATACAAATCTATCCTACCACTTATAAATTACAACTAATCTTATGAATCCTAAAATTAATCTTTAATAATCATTATATAAACAATTAAATATTAGAACCGAAACCACATGAAAGCAACAAACCAGTTCTTATTTTAAATACAAATCTATCCTACCACTTATAAATACATCTGTCATACTATTTATATAATAATCTGTACAAATTTTCATTAACAGATACACTTAACTGGGCATAATAACATGTTATCTCAAGTCGATTACGTCACTTCTGTTGCATGTGCATTACTACTCATTTAAGAATGACTGTCCTTGTTGCGCTCATTACCTCACCTACAACCATAACTTTCCTAATGTTTTGCTAAATAAGGTTTGCTCATCTTTGCCTTATCTTTTCTGGTGTTTCGGGTGCTTTCTTTCTTACAAAACAAAGCTTTTGTGGTCATATATAATGTTCAAGCTTGTTTACGGCTATACAAGTATTGAACGAATGACGTAGTTATTGGAGAGAACTTATGCTCGTCAAGTAGCCAAGACTGCATCACCTTATGAACATCTTCGCCAGGCATTACAACAGCTTTGTTATTGTCATTTTGATGGTTCATTGATTGGATTCAATGATTACCTACTTGGATAAATTCATTGATGGGCATTAATATGTCCTCTTTATTTTTGAATGACTCTTTCATGGTATTCGTATGCAGGGTTGTGGAGTGTCATTTGCGGTGGTAGATGGCCTTATGGCCCTCCTTGCAGAGAAAAAGAGAAAGATGGAGCAAGAGGAAGCAGATACAAATATGCGAATTTTACTTGACTTCTTGTATTGCCTCAGCAAGCAAAAGCTTGATGATCTCAATGAGGTTCTTGAATTTTGTTTGTTTGTTTGTGTCTTAGACATACTGGGTTTTAATGTCTCATATTTCCCATTGGAACCCGTTCGAGTGCCTACTAGTGTTTCATTAGTATGCAGATTAACAGACATTTGTACCTTTTGCAGATTCAAACAGATCTCCACTACATTGAGGAGGACATAAATTCTGTGGAGAAGAAAAGAATAGAGTTATCCAGGGCAAGTGACAGACTCTCACTGAAACTTGGGATGTTCGCTGATGATCCAAATTCTAAGTTTTTTACTCAATCAGAAGCAAATGCATCTAAAAAGAAATGGGTCCGTGCACAGGTAAGGATCTTCTGAACTTGCATATATGCCACTCTCTTGTTGTTTAAGTGATTGTGTGATAGCATCACTGTTTCCAACCTCCTGGTCTTGCTGGAGACTTGGGGTTATATCATTTGATTTCTTGCAGCAGTAGTCGAACTTTTCAATCTGATTCAATGGCTAAATAGGTTCTCATTTGCCTTCTCTTGCTACAGTTCAATGCTTTGCAAGAATGTTACTTGCAAAAGCGTCGAAATTGGGTTAGACAAGCATGTAAAGAGGAAAAGAGGGATGCAGATACTTCAAATAGAGAAGGATACAATCCAGGCCTTGAGGATTTCCATTCTGTGCTAACCAATTTCACTCGATGCAGGTGGACGAATTTCTCAATGTTGAATATTGTTATTTCCAATCAATCTTTAATTTCTTTCAAAAGCTTGGCCGCTCATTACTTTATTACATTTGAAAATTGCTTCGGTTACTTCTGACTTCTTGTTGGTTGTTGTGTTAGTCAATTTAGGGTTGTCGCTGAACTTAGACAAGGTGGCCTTTTCCACTCTGCTAACATCGTGTCCAGGTTAGTTGGTCTCGATGGGTCATTTTCAAGTAGATTCATTTTATTTCATATGTTTTTTGCTTTGTTCATAAAGTTTGCATTTCCCAGGTTGTCTTTCCAACTTCTATATGTCATTACAATCAAGTATCCTAATCATCATGAAATCACATTGTGTTGCAGTATAGAATTTGATCGTGATGATGAACTGTTTGCTACTGCTGGAGTTTATAGGCGCATTAAGATTTTTGAGTTTTCCAAAGTAAGTGTGGGAAGAGTGTTATACTATCTTACCAACTTAAGTATCATGCACCTTAGCTGCTTAATTCTTCGTTAGCAGACATCTCATCAAATTGATTGCACTGATCAAATGATTAAGAATATTGGTTTTGATTCCTGTGCTTAATCTATCAGTCTTTCGAAGAACTCAGGGCTGATGATCATCGCGAAGCAAGTTACAATAGTATCCATTATGACAATCATTTCTCTATTGACTAATCAGCCTTGGCCTGTATCATTTCTTTCTAGGTCATGAATGAACCGGAAGATGTGCATTGTCCTGTTGTCGAAATGTCCACGCGATCTAAACTCAGTTGCGTGAGCTGGAACAAGTATATGAAAAATCATATTGCTAGCAGTGATTATGAGGGGATAGTAACTGTGTGGGATGTAACAACTCGCCAGGTACTTCATGATACTTCACTTTTGGTGTTCTGTTCTATATGATCATGACAGACTGACACCAGTGCAGGAAACTCTGGATGTAGCCCTACCCTTCAATTTCTTACACAAAGTGTCTGTTTTCAGGCCTGAAGCCTGCAAAGCTGGAATGCAAATTTATGATTTCAGCTTTGCTCGGTCAAACAGCCTTCATGTCCCTTAATTATAAACTTTAATTTCCTTAAATTTTTCTGACTGAGATGTTAAATTATTTTCACGAAGACACTTTTCTCACCAGAGCATAATGGAGTATGACGAGCACGAAAAGCGAGCTTGGAGTGTTGATTTTTCACAGAATGAACCTTCAATGCTTGTATCTGGGAGCGATGACTGCAAGGTACTTGGCAATAACCATAATTATAAGGCAAAATTTGATACCATCCCTTTATCAAGAAGCCTTTCAATCCAGCCATTTACCAAAATATGAACAGAGCCAGGAGCTATTTTTTTCATTGCTTATAAATTGATGATTGGTTTCATTATGCATTCATGCTTAGATCCGATTCTGAGTTTAATAGGTCAAAATTTGGAGCACAAAGCAAGAGTCAAGTGTTCTCAACATTGATATGAAAGCAAATGTCTGTTCTGTCAAGTATAATCCTGGATCCAGCATTCATGTGGCGGTATGTCTCTGTAAGATTCTTGCTAGATGAATCATGTTTCTTATAAATTTGCTAACACAAAAAATATAGAGAATTTTACACGAGTTTTTTCCTTTCAGAGTCTATGGTCAAGAAAGTTACACCAATATCATATTTTCCATTAAAGCAAAGATATATAACTCTTCTTTCTTCTTGCTAATCAGAGAGCATGCAAGAAAATTTTATAATGCCTTTGCATGCATCCTGTTTTTGTATCAATCCTGAACGGATTCATGTTTAAGAAACGATACTTGGTATCTTACAGGTGGGATCTGCTGATCATCATATTCACTATTATGACTTGAGAAACATTAGCCAACCACTTTATGTGTTTAGTGGGCATCGGAAAACTGTTTCATATGTGAAATTTCTATCTAGTAACGTGCTGGCTTCTGCATCTACTGACAGCACATTGCGCTTATGGGACGTGAAGGAAAATCTAGCAGTAAGTTATGGCCCGTTCCAAGAAAAAAGAACACAGTCCTTGATATATTACCACTACTTTGATTACTTTCTCTGGAATTGTGATTGCATCTGTGATACTTGGTACCATTTGCGATTTCTTTCCATGGCGCTTCCAAATTACCCTTATCCTTTATTTTTCAGCTGCGTACATTTAGAGGCCATACGAATGAGAAAAACTTTGTGGGTCTTGCGGTGAATAATGAATACATTGCTTGCGGCAGCGAAACGAATGAAGTGTTTGTGTATCACAAGGTTTGAGAACATTTGAATAAGCTGGTTCCTTTGGCTTCAGAATCCTTTAATAATATAGTTTTGACAAAAATTGCAGGCTATCTCTAAACCTGCAGCTTCGCATAGATTTAGTATAGATTTGGAGAATGGTGGCGATGATGCTGGATCATACTTCACTAGTGCTGTGTGTTGGAAGAGTGATAGCCCTACAATGCTAGCTGCAAATAATCAAGGAACCATTAAAGTGCTTGTTCTTGCTGCTTGAATAATTGAACTCTTCAAATCCTACTCAAGATTAACTATGTACATACCCAGATAAAGAATGAGTTTTGCTGTGCTACTGGCAAGTAACATGCATATTGGTGTAGTCATTTTCTTGAGTCTTTTGTTAAGGCTATGAAGAAGCCTCTAGTCATGTTGGGTTTCCTAGTGATTTCATTTCGCTTGTCGAATGGGATCTTATACCAAGGAGTTGAATTACTTCCATTCCTTGTCTACAATGTTCTTCGTTGGCACGTTAGAGATTTTCTTATTACTCACCTTGTACCAGATAACAAATCTTGCTTCGTCATCATCAACACCACCACAAGCTAAATCCCACCACCAATGCCTTGATCACCAGAAATCTGCCGCGCAAGAAAAATTTCTTGGCTATTTTTTTTCAGAAGGTGAATTGTGGGACCTGAAAACAGAATGTTACTCTTGGGAGGGAGTCTGATGTAATGGTGTTGGTCATGTTACTAAACTTGACCTGAGCCCTCTAGTTGATCAAATACAGCTCAGTCGGCCAAACCTTGAGATGCTTCTCCAAAATCTGAGTTTTCTAGTAGAACTCAATCTTGATTGTGCAGATCTGTCAGCACACAGTAGTAGCTGGCGTGAAGCCATCTCTCATGCACTTCCTAACCTTAAAGAGTGTTGAGTATGGCTTACTTTGCTCTTTCTAGTCTTTTTTGTTCCTCTCTCGTAGGTCTGTTTTCTGTGTGAACTCCACCTTGATGGGATTTCACTATCGTCCATTCCTCCCAATCTCCTGGTAAATTCTTCTACTTAGTGACGCAGCCTGCAGTGAAGAAGAAGTCCAGGATTCACAAAATTTACAACTAAATTGTAAAAAGAATTATGATTTAATAACTTTAAATGTCAATAATTCTATGTCAGTACAATACTAAACTCTTAAGCTTATTTAGGTAAGAAATTCAAAAATTACATGGAAAATAAACAAAATTCTAAACTTGAGTATGAAATCGATCTTAGCATGCCAGATTTTGCACTAGAAAACAATATGCAGCCACTCAAAATTAACGGCAATAAAGTGGAATGAAAATTGCCAATATCCATAGCTAAACAAGCTGGAGGTTTGGGACCTTGGACACAACATGATACGTGACGCTTTCCCATTCTGGTTGGGGCTGCTACCTGCATCGAAGATTCTTGTGATGCGAGAAGATAAATTTTAGGTTGAATTACTTTCTGGAACTGTGAATTCGTTCAAAGTTTAGCGGCTACGCAAATTACTAGCAAAAGAGAATCGAAAAGCCAAAGTATGTTGGAGATGACTACTCTATGAACTACCCCATCTTCAACTACCACAAGGAATCGGTAGCTATTATGAACAAAGGGTTGGAAGTGCATATGGAGAGAACAGTGACCGTTTCCCTGTCTTGATCTCTCTGAAAACAAATTCCATGGGGAAATTCCTGAAGAGATAATGTATCTCAAACTCATCTCACAATAACTTCCTTGGCCAAGTTCTGTCATCAATGATGAACCTAACGGAGGTTGAGTCCTTAGATCTCTCAAAGGACCAGATCTCTGCGGAGATTCCTCCTCAACTTGCAAGGCAGACATTCCTTGCTGTAATGAATCTCTCATATAACCGCCTGGAGGGGAGTAGACCATAGGGTAACCAATTCAGCAAATTCTCGTACACTTATTGATGCAGTGTACAGCGAAAGCAAAAGATAGGAAAGGGTTTCTGAAACCTTAAATTATATATTAATCTTTTTCAAGTCAGTCTCCCGATCGAGTTGACAACTATGCTTGCAAGGTCTCTGATCATTCTTTACTATTACCATTATTTTATTATTTTTAAGTCTTAGATTTTCCTATGAAGTGTGGTCGGAAGTTTTTGCTACGTATCTTTAATTAATTAGCTAGAAAATCATATACTCTCGAACTTTTCGAATCTTGTTCTAGTCTTCTTCTTTGTTGAATTCTGCAATATTCGTTTAATCTATGCTTAATTTCAAATGCTTGTAAGGACTCATTTTATTCCTTAGACTGATTATGTAGGTGGAGTATGTTTTAAAGCTTCTCGAGATCTCTATCGGCATGTCTACTGACTTCGAGCAGGCTGTATGTAATGCTGGGTTACAGCTAGCCTGAAATTGTTAGACTTTGTTAACAGCAGGTTTTCTTCTCGGTGTCTGCTCCTTGCTTCTGTGCTGCTCTACTCCTGCTCTCCCGAGGCTTTCCCTAGACTGTAAGTATACGCATTGTACTTATCTTTACATTACCTTGATTTGATCCTTCACTTTGAGCCTTATGAAAAGCAATTTAGCAGCTAATTAGTTGGCTTCATGTGATGTGACAGTACAATAATAATAGAGTAATAACAAAAAAAACCATTGTTAAAAAAACCTCTTTACTCCAGTTTTGAAGTTTTTTAAGAGCATTTGGGTGGGTTTAATTTGTTTTTTAACTGTTCATTATTTTTTAATGTTTTGTAAAACATCAAATTATCTCTTATCTAACATTATAATAATAATAAAAATTATTGTAAAAATAAAAAAACCCTCTTTATATTATTTTTTTACTTCTAATAATATTATAATTATTTCACCGTGCAATTAAAATAATTTTTTTATTTATTTATAGTCAATTTAAAAATGATCAATGGATCATATAAAAAGATCCCAATACTCTTTAGATCTGAAGTTTTTTGGGTAGAAAAATAAAATCACCATATTATAACTATTCTAGTAAATAATAAAAATAAGTATGAAGTTTTTTGTGTGATTTTTTATTTCCTGACTTCTTTCTTTATCATTTTAATGCTTTCAGCTTGATGATTCAAATTATAAATTTAAAAAGTTAATGTTGTTTTTCTTATTTTCTTTTAAATTTTATTGTTGGACAATGATTTTTTTTTTTTTTATCATTGCCTCTATTTTTTACTTTCAGCTTGATGACTCAAATTATAAATTTAAAAAGTTAATAAAAATTAATATTGTTTTTCTTATTTTCTTTTAAATTTTTTTGTTGGACATTGATTTTTTTTTTTATCATTGCCTCTATTTTTATTTTCTTTTGACTCAAATAAAACAAATTTATTTGACTAGTCATGAATATAACCAGGGTTATTATACATTTTTTATTTTATTTTTGTAAAACCAAACCTAAAGGACATGTTATTTCAAACTGGACGTTCAAGTTGGTCTCCAACAATTACCATCTCCAAATCAACTATCCTGTCCTTACTTCGCTCTGTCAATAGCCATCAACATCTCCAATTTAATTTCTGCTGCATTTCTTCCCCTCATCAATGAATCCAACCAGCCTGAGTCCATAGTCGTTGGCTGCAGAATACTCCAAGGCTTATCCTTTAGTGACTTGTGTCCACAGAACTTGTAAAACTTCTACACATTCATTACTTTCACTGTCTCACACTTGACTTCTTCAACAGTCAGGGGCGAAGACAGGGGAGGCTAGCAGGGACCGGGGCTTACAAAGAAATGTTTTTTCAATCCCTCTCTTAATAATATTTATATTTTTAACCTAAATAATAAAACAACTAACATTTTGACCCTCTTAATTTTATTTTCTAGCTCCGCCTCTGTCAACAGTTATACCCTAGAGCTGCATGAACTTGTCTAGAAATCAAGTGAAGGCTGTAGAATCTAATAACCAAAACATTATTGCAGATCCAACTTGACTTCCACTTAGTCATGCAATAACCATCAACAATATCTTCAATTTGCTCTCATATTAATTTCTTAGTATGAGTTTTTCTTGTTTCTACATTATGCATCCAATCAATTTGAGTCTTGCGACTTTACAGCCATGGAAATATCCAAGAACTGTCCAGCTAGAGTTTTCTCTGCTAAATATTATCAGCCATAGGAAAAATGAGAGATTTTCATCATCGTTTACTCTTGTTTCTTTACGTGTTCCTAGTCTCTTTGTATCAAGCGAGTACATCTCTGTCAACAGCACCAAAAGCTGCCAAAGTATCGCTTCATCTCTGTCAACAGCACCAAAAGCTGCCCACCACCGATGCCGTGATGACCAGAGATCGGCCTTCGCACAGTGGCAAGAGAACCTTAAATTCCCAGTATCATCTTCAAGAGCTGAGTTGTGGGACCTGAAAACAGATTGTTGCTCTTGGGAAGGAGTTACATGTAATGATGTTGGTCATGCCACTCGACTTGACCTGAGTTTTGCGCATTATGAATATGGAGATTCAATTTCACTGAAAAAGCCAAACCTCGGAACTTTTCCAGAATCTCAGTTTTCTAGTAGAGCTCAATCTTGATTATGTAAACATTTCAGCACAAGGTAGCAATTGGTGTGAAGTCATCTCCCATGTGCTTCCCCACCTCAGAGTCTTGAGTTTGTCTGGCTCTGGTCTTTCTGGTCCTCTTTGTTCCTCTCTCTCAAAACTCCATTTTCTCTCTGAACTCCATCTTGATAGCAATTCTGAACTCTCTTCCATTCCACCCAGTTTCTTAGCAAATTCCTCCAACTTGGAAACTCTTGACTTATCATATTGTGGCTTGAATGGGAGTTTTCCAAACAACATTTTACTATTGCCAAAACTACAGTACATTGATCTCTCTGAAAATTTACTCCTTTCAGGTCAGTTTCCAGAATTCTCATTGAATAGTTCTATTCAATACTTGTCTACAAGAACACAAATTTTTCTGGGAAGATCCCACAGTCAATCGGCAATCTCAAGTCCTTGAATTCTCTAGACCTGAGCAGGTGCAAATTTTATGGATCCCACCATCACTTGCAAACCTCACCCAACTTGAATTTCTGGATCTTTCATTTAATAGTTTCAACGGTTCCATTCCTCCATTTCAAAGCGATGGAGTTGCAAACCTTTCATTCCTCTCCTTGGAGCATAACCAGCTTAACGGAATCCTATATTCTTCTCTATTTACTCTTCCATCCTTGCAGAATTTAGATCTCAGCTCAAACCAATTAAGTGGCCAACTAGATGAGTTTTCAGATGCATCTTCTTCATTGCTGATGATAGAGTTGAGTAACAATAATTTGAGCGGATCAATACCAAGGTCACTCTTCAAGCTCCCCAGCCTTATAGAACTTAATCTTCTATATAACAAATTTTCTGGCCCCTTGAAGCTTGGTGATTTCAAGAATCAGAGGGGTTTAGAATTCCTTGCACTTTCTGGTGTGTCAGTTGAGAGTGACAACAGGAGCCTTGCTTATGTCCAGCTCGCAACTTTGTATTTGCCCTCATGCAACTTGACTGAATTTCCAAATTTCCTCAAAACATAAAACAGTTTGACTGGTCTAGATCTTTCCAACAACAGAATTCAAGGTTATGTGCCCAGCTGGATTTGGAAAACAACTCTCACCACATTATACCTTTCCGGCAATCCTGTTGATTTTCCAAAAATTCCTCCTTTTTTCAAGGTAAACCATAGCACATCAATCTACAATGAAGATGGAGTTTCTTCCTTTCCCATGACGTTAGAGAATTTGGGAATGCCATCCTGTACATAACAGGTAGCTTTCCATAGTTTATAAAGAACCAAGAGAAGCTAACTATATCTTGATCTTTCAGACAACAAACTCGGTGATCAAATACCCAAGTGGATATGGAACATGAGTCTAACATATCTAAACCTTTCTTGCAACAATTTTCATTTTTTAGACCAGTTCTCCAATCCCATCTCCCTCCCCTCCTCAGATACTCTTATTACTCTTGATCTTCATGCCAATCAATTGCCGGGTTCATCCCAAAAGCTATATGCAATTGCAGTCAACTCTCTTTGCTTGACATGTCCCATAACCACCTTAGAAGTCAAATCCCTGATTGTTTGGGAAAATTTCCTACCCTCATGGTGCTGAATCTGCAAGGAAATAACTTCGATTCCATTTCAAGTTATGCGATAGCAAGTAATCTGCTGTCTCTTAAAATCAGTGACAATAAAGTGGAAGGGAAGTTGCCACGCTCCTTAGCCAATTGTTCAAAGCTAGAGGTTTTGAATCTTGGAGGCAACATGATACGAGACACATTTCCAGTATGGTTGGAGAGGCTGACTGCACTACAAATTCTGGTACTCCAAGCAAATAAATTTTATGGTCCAATTGGAAATCGTGGTGCTGAGACCACTTGGCCAATGTTGCATGTTATGGACCTGTCTTCCTATGAGTTCACTGGCAATCTCTTGAAGGAATTCGTTCAAAGTTTAGTGGGGATGCAGTTGACCTCCAACAATGATTCGAGGGCAAGGTATGTTGGAGATAACTACAATATCAATGGATACTACATGGAGTCGGTGACTATTACGAACAAGGGGCGGAAAATGCATATGGATAGGATTATAAACTCCAATGAGTTCACATGTCTTGATCTCTCCAACAATAGTTTCCATGGAGAAATTCCTGAAGAGATAAGGATTCTGAAATCACTCATAGTCCTCACCTTGTCTCATAATAACTTCCTTGGTCAAATCCCGTCATCATTGAGCGACCTGACAGAGCTGGAGTCCTTGGACCTGTCAAGCAACCTCCTGTCAGGGGAGATTCCTCCCCAACTTTCAAGGTTGCCATTCCTTGCTGTAACTCTCGAAGGAAGGATACCACGAGGCAACCAATTTCTTACATTTCCCAATTGACATTCCTTGCTGTAATGAATCTGTCATATAACCATCTCGAAGGAAGGATACCACAAGGCAACCAATTTCTTACATTTCCCAATTCTTCTTATGAGGGGAACCCAAGGCTATGCGGACCCCCTTTGACAAGGAAATGCAATCCTGAAGTGAATGAACCTGCTACTCCTCCAGCCGACCACGAGGATTCATGGACAGAGTATATACTTGAGTGGAAAATTGTGGGGATTGGATATGCAAGTGGAATAGTAATTTGAGTGGAAAATTGTAGGGATTGGATATGCAAGTGGAATAGTAATTGGTTTCTCTGTAGGATACACAATATTAAGTGAGATGAGAATCAAATGGTTTGCTGATCTCATAAGGCTAGCAGGAAACAAAGAGAGATGGTTCAACCAAGGCCAGAGGGGTCTTGGAAGTTGGTGATGAAGTTGATGCTAGTGAATGCTGCACATAAGTTATTATCTCCAGGTAAAAATTCCTTTTATCTTTCTTTTCTTGAAGAATACAAAGAAATTTTTCTTGATGAATGAAATTTTAGAAGGCAATTAAAAAGATATCTTCAAAATTTGTCAAGCTTTCTGAACCAAGTAGACATTTGCCAAAAAAAAATAAATTATGGGGCTAAGTTAATAAATTCTACACACTGAATGAATTACTCTTGATTGCAGGTTGCAAGTCATTGATGCATCATATTGATGAGGAATGGAGTGTCATATTGTCATTTAAGCTTATGTTTAAATTTACTGTTCCTGAAGAATTAGTAAAGCTTAAAACTAGATTCATGTGTTTTTCTCCATAAGCTGCCGATGCTTTTGTATTTTCGACAATAAAAGATGGTGGGCCATTCAGATTGTAACAAGTGCTGCAATAATCAGCAATCTTGGCAGATTGTGTCTTTGTGTGGTGATCCTTGATCGTGCCTCTGCAGAGCTTTTCCTTTAGGTAGTATATATCTCATGAATTTGAATTTGAATTTGAATTTCCCCTTCATAATCTTTCTTTTGAGACTCTGGTGTATGTATCTCATGAAGAAAGTTTTTGTTTCGGTGCGTTTTCGGTGAGTTTTAAGCCAATATATTACAAAAAATCTATTGGAAGTGATTTTTTCACTGTAACGCAAGATATATATTAATGGGAATAGCTGAAATAATCATTTCGCATCTCCACCCAAAAAACAATTACCTTGGTTTTTAAGGATAAGGTTATCTTTTCCTTAAGGTAAGGACTTGGGATCAAGGGGTTTGCTGCGTTTTCGGTGAGTTTTAAGCCAATATATTACAAAAAATCTATTGGAAGTGATTTTTTCACTGTAACGCAAGATATATATTAATGGGAATAGCTGAAATAATCATTTCGCATCTCCACCCAAAAAACAATTACCTTGGTTTTTGAGGATAAGGTTATCTTTTCAATGAAACACATAGTATGCTTAAAATAAAGTACACAAATAATTGCCATGACAGGGCTTTTTTATCCTTTTCTTTTTATTGCACATTATAAATACTAGCATACCCTTATAGCCGATCAATTTTAAACTATTATCTAAGAGCTTTTAGATTTTTTATCGTAGTTTTTTCATTATATATAATGTGAATAAAGGTTAGTTTGATCTTTTAAGATATATATAAAAAAGTTGTTATAGGTTGAAGAACATGTGTTTGCACACGTGAAGGAGGGCTACCACTATGATAGTTAAGTGATACTGTCTCCTTCCTCTAGCGGTAAAAATACTAACTGACCCGAACACCTCACGTAAAACAAAAAAAAAATAAAAAAACAAAAAAGTTGACCCGGACACCTCATGTAAAACAAAAACAAATACTAGATAACCATGTTACTTGTAACATTTTGAATTAAAAAAAATAGAAAAAAGCTATAAAGTTTTTATAGGCTTAAATATAAAAACAAATAAATGAAGTGTATTGTAATAAATAAATAAAAAGATGATAAATATAAATAGTAAGTTAAAAAAAAACAGAGAAAGAGTTGTGTTCTTAGAGAGAAATACCATGAGAGGAAAAGGAAAAGAAGAGAAAAAAAGGAAAGATAAGGAAAAAAAAAGGGAGTTAAAGAAAAATAAGTTAAAAGGGTAAGATTTATGATTTAATGTGTATAATATGTTTTATTGAACTTTAAATTTCAATTTTAATAAATGTTACGGTTTTGAAGATTTTATTTTAAGTTTGATTGATGAATTAATTTAAATATCATAAAGTTGATTATTATTGTGGGTAATGAATTGTTTAGTTCAATTTGAGAGATTGTTGATAAAGATGATGATTTTGAATTATGATTTTGTTTAAATGGTAAATTTATGTTAGAAATTAGGGGATAACAGTAGCTAATCTGTGAAAATTCTTGGTTTGAGGTTGAAGATGATAATATTTCAGTTTGGTCCCTTAATTTGTGAAAATTCAATTTAGTCCCCAAATTTTGAAAAATTAAAAGTTGGTCCCTAGAGCATATTCCAAAATTCTAAACAGAATAAAAAATAAATTATGGGCAGAATTCTTGTATAGTTATGAAATTTTAACACTTTCAATTTGGTCCTCCAATTTGACAAAAATTATAATTTGACCCTAAAAATTTGGAGAAAATTCCACAATAGTCCCTGGAGCATAATGAGATATTCTGGACATAATTGAGGAGTAATTATGATCAAAATTTCAGCATAGTTATGGATTTATGATATTTTTAGTTTGCTCCTTCAATTTGATAAAAGTTACAATTTGACCCTTAAAAATATGATATATTTCATATTGGGACTAGCTGTAATATTAGCTTTTACATATTGGTTTGATGAATAATTAAGGGTTATTTAGTAAATTATTACCAATTTTATTATTTATTTTATTATAAATTAGATTTCGAGAAAACCGTTAAATTTTAGGTTTTTGAAAAAATTGACTAGTTAATTCAAAAATATATAGGGTTACAGAATACACCCTTAGTTAAGTGTATTAAATAGTTTAAATGTTCTTTTAATTCATTCTTGAATATGTCTCTTTTGTATTCAAATAATCCTAATATTTTACTAGCGGGACGTTAATAGGTATTTCTGTTTGATTATGATTATGAACCTATGACATGCCAGTCAGAATACTCATACTAATAGGGTAATATTAGTATTTGTGCACATCGTATATGAACCATAATTGGTCGGGGGAGTCACTAACCTGTGTGGATTGATCATGCCACAGTACGGAGCCTCATGCTCATTGTATTTTGATTTTCTGACGAGTTTTACCTTATGATATTTTTGTTATAACCTATTTGAGGAACCTTCCTATAAGAACATAAATCCAATTGTATATATATTTTTTATTGTTGTATTACCTCGTGTGTGTATATTAAATATTATCTACTCACTGAGTTGTTAAACTCACCCTCATATTATTTATTATTTTCAGGCTTATAACTTGATGACACGACTAAAAGATTAATGTCTTCTCCCAAGTGCAGGAGTGTCGAAGTAATAAATAACCCGGCAAGACCGAGGTCGAACCACAGGGAGGTTAATTGTACAAATTATAAACAATAATTATAAACAACAACAATAACAATAACAATAATAGTAACAATAATAATAAAAAAGAAGAAGAAGAAGAAGAAGATGAGAACTTGGAGATGGACTATTAATGTAAGGATTAAACGATGATAATAACAAATGTCAAGGTTAGAGGATCCACTAATGGTATGTCAAACAAGTATAGTATAAACTCTTATTATTCAATTGAAAACCACACACAAAGGAGGTTCCAATCAGATTATAGATTGTTAACATGATTACATTAGTCATCTTATTCAATTAATGCTAATACTTGTAAATCTCATCAAGCATTCATGATTATAACTTATGTTAACAACAAATCAAGTTCCTTTCATAGCTCAGGTGTCGGTTATACCATACATTATGGGCTATGAAAGTGCCAAGCATTTGTTGTACCAAGTGTTATACAACATAAATCAAGATTAATCATTTAACAAGCAAAGTATTAAAGAGTAAACAAGATAACAAATATAAAACATGTTAGTATCAAACATTAAAGTCCATATTAAGTTTACATTATACTTATTCTCACACCATTAGTGTAACCTTTTCACCTTGACATAATTAACTTAGCTAGACATAATGAAAGAAAGCAAAATAGATAAACAAAATAAGAACATAAAAGTTAACTAAGTAAAGGAAAGGAAATGAAAGGCATAAACTTAATATTAATGAAAACAAAGCATAAAAAATACAAAGAGAGAAAGGAAGAGCATGATCTTGATCTTTATTATAAAACATGCTTTAGTTAAGGAGTTATTGATACTTCGAGTGCAAAATGATGATATAAAACCTTGATAAAAATGTACTTTTAAGTACTAATCACTTGATAGTAGGTTATTTTTGTTGGACCTTCAGAACCTGCTTTTTGATTGAAATTTATACCTTCCTTTTATTTCTAGTTAATGCTCCAAAACTATAAATTTATACGAACTCTTGTATTACGACAATCAAATTGTATTATAAGAAGTTAATTTTTGTATTAATACTACGTTGAACTTTGATTGGATTAAAAGAAATTTGTATGTAAGTTTGGGTTTGCATAACTATGAAACCTTGAAAGGAAACCATGCATATGTGCCGGTCATGAATTCGGGTCGTGACATTACCAATATTGTCACATGGCAACGCTTTCATTGAGATGGTGTGTGGATCATGTTATTTTATGGTTTGACGATGACATAATTTTTTATTCCCCCTTTTTTCTCTCTGATGATCTTTGAATGCACGTTTTTTAAGTAAAAAATAAAGTGTGTCCTTCCATTTTATTTTTATTATAGTCATACTTCTCATTATTTTAATTAATTTTTTATTGTTTTAAATCCTTTTTGTAATATTTTAATATAAAAGAGAAATAATTGATAGGAAAAAGGTAAAAATGCCCTTAGAGGGATATATATTAAATATAAAGTAAGTAGGAGTATTAAGATAATTGCATATAAATTGATAAACATAAATAGGAAAAGAAAAAAAAAAGATCTGGCATTAGAGAAAAAGAACTAGGAGGCGAGAAAGATAGGAGAAGAAAGCTAAGAATTAGAAGAAATAAGTTGTTAAAGTAAGGTTTATGTTTTATAGGTATAAAGGTTGTTATTTGTTAAGATTTTGAATTTGTTGAAAATTAGAGTTTTGAAGATTATATTTTGAAATTGATGAGTTGATTGAAATGTTATAGATAAATTGTTATGGGTAATTGTTTAGTTAGTTGAATTTTAAATAATTTTGTTGGGAATAACAATTTTGAAATTGATTGGTTTAATTGATGTGTTGGTGTGAGAATATTGAGAAACGGTAAAAAACCCTCTTGAAATTAAATTTGATTTGATTTTTATATCATATTTGATCCTTATTTTTTAATTAATATTTTATTTTTTAAATTCCATTCCATGTGATTTAATTTATTTTAATTTTTATATCAGATTTGGTTCTTATTTTTTTAATTAATATTGATTTTTCAATTTCATTCCTTGAAATTTAATTTAATTTGATTTATATATCAAATAGTTCCTCATTTTTTTAATTACTATTTTTCCTTTATAATTTCATTCCTTGAGTTTTAATTTTATTTTATTTTTATATTCGATTCGTTCTTTATTTTTTTAATTTTTTTATATTATTTTTCTAATTGAATTTTATTTTTCTAATTTCATCCCTTATCCTTTTATTTATTTATTTTATATTGAATTTAATCATCATTCTTGCAATTTTTTTCTTTCTTTTCATCCTTTCTTTAATTTTTTTATTCTTTAATATTTTATTTGTCTTAATTTAATTTGATTTTTATATTAGATTTAGTCTTATGACATGAATTGACATTATTAATATTTTTTTAAACTTATTTTTTTAATTTTATTTTTAAATATTTGTTTTATTAAGAATTGAGCTCTTTAATTTATTTTAATTTGCTTTATTAGTTTTTTTATGGTGGTTTTTTATTAGA